ATGCTACGGAAGTGTCTAGGAGACCCTTCATGGGTTGTCCCAGTTGAGGATGTTCAGATCACAGAGGAGTTGTCCTACGAGGAAACTCCAGTTGCCATTTTAGATCGGCAGGTCCGTAAATTAAGGACCAAAGAGGTGGCTTCGGTTAAAGTATTGTGGAGGAACAAAATAGAGAAGAGGTGACCTGGGAAGCTGAGGATGGCATGAGGTCCAAATATCCTCACTTGTTTCATACCCAGGGTGATGCCATATCAGTTTATATTAGAGTAGTAAGGTAAGATACCAATCTAAAAATAAATAAATATATGTACTATTGCTTATTATTATTATGGTTGTTGTTGTATATCTGCTCGCACTGTTATGGTGGAGCTAGAGTGCTTAGCTATTTATGTCATCATATGAAACGCCTAGGTTAGAAATTTTGCATTTCAGGTTATTGAATAGTAACATTTACAAAGGATACCTGCCTAAATTTTGGCAACTCCTAAGAACTGAACCGCGTGACTCAGATTTTTCATTCGAGGACGAATGTTTCTAAGGGGGGAGAATGTAACACCCCAACTTTTTGAAACGTCTAAAATTACTCGTATCTCCACGGAAAGACAAGGAGGGTGGGTAATAAATTTAGAATGATGTGGTATGTCCTAATTTAAGTGTTCAAGTGTTGCATCTCATTTTTTGAAGTTAGGTAAGTGGCAAAATAAAAGTTGGCGGAAGTTATCGTAAGTTCCTTCTTAAAGATTTTTTCTGAAATTTGGGTCAAATGTGTTGGAGGTTTTCTCCCAATCTATAAAGAGTTATAGGGTCCACAAACTATCGAATCGAAGGTCTACGAGTCTAGTTTCCAACGCATCAAACCGTTCATTCATACGATTTCAGAATAGAGAGATATTCGCATTTTCGTGGGACTGCGCAAGCAGGCACGTGAGGTGGGGCCCTAGGTCGGTGGAAAGTTGTATATATCTTCTTCTTCGAGTTTTTTTCTTCATTTTAAGCTAAATATACAGAGAAAACATAGAAACCCATTTTTAGGATCAAGTGAAATATAGATTTTCTCGACGTAAGTCCTTGACGAAAGTTGTTCTACGCGTTGGGCTCATCATCGTGGTATAATTTATTTTATCGATTGTGTAGCATATCACATTTTAGAGTTGAGACAGCAGGGGTTTGAATATATTTGAAGGTTTTGAGGTGAATTACGAACCTAAGATCGAGGTAAGACCCTTCTTTCATCGACTCTAGCTTTTATAAGCAGCAAATAGCAATTTGCGACGGAAATACATATCTTTTATTGTATTGTCATGGTATCTTTTATTTTATGTGTTGATTATGGTCCTACCTTGTTGTAGTATCGAGGGAGTTATGAGTTAAAGTCTTTAGGCCACGTGAATTTAGCGAAAAAGGTATGTTAAGGCTATTCCCTACTACACGTGAATTTAGTATGTTAAGGCTATTCCCTACTTACGACATGTTCCTTAATATACTTGATATACTTGTAGCCGTTATTGTTGATTATTGGTTGCTCAGGTTGATATAATCCTCCCTTGTCGGGATTCTTATTCAGTTTGTAGCGTCCCTATGTTGGACACGACTTAGAGGCTATTTGTACAAGTTGCTTAGATTGCTCGCCTTTAATGATTTGATTGTTATTATTGCCGTTGGGGCTATTCTGGTTAGCTGCAGGAATGTGATTTATGCCTAGAAGGGCTATGTTCAACCTACGGGGTTAAATGGATAACTAAAAGGGCTATATGTTGCCTACGGGGCTATATTGATGCCTAGAAGGGCTATGAGTTGCCTATAGGGCTATATTCACGCCTAAGAAGGCTATGGGCTTCCTACATGGCTATGTTGTTGCCTAAGAGGGCTATGAGTTGTCTATAAGCTATGTTGATACCTAAGAGAACTATGTGCTGTTATGGGGGCTATATTAATGCCTAAGAGGGCTATGTGATTGCCTACAGGGCTAAGGGACTATCGATAGGGGTATATAGACTGATTGGCACCTTCCGGGCTTATGGGTGCCTGAGTAGGTGGTCTTGTGTGCTGTTTGTACCTGCCGAGCTTATGGCGGCTTGGCTAGGTTGTTTTTTTATTATTTTTGATACGTTTAGATTTAGGAGCAGGTCAGTACAGTTATCTTATCCTTGATTTATTTATCATTTTATTCGAGTATATCAGGATACCTCATCATAGTCTATTGCCTTTCATACTCTGTACATTATTTTGTACTGACGCCCCATTGCCTTAGGGGCGCTGCATTCATGCATGCAGGTCCTGACAGACGACTGAGTAGACCTCCTCAGCAGCAGGATTGACTTTTATCCAGTTGGTCAGCCCCTTTCCTCCGGAGCTGCCAGAGTTGGGAGGTTTGTTAACTTTTGTTGCATATATC